ACCGCCTTGAGTTATTTATTAAAAAGGTGGGATAAAATAATAATAATAATACAATTTGTTAATCAGAAAAGATTCTACCAGACTCCTCCTGATTTTTTGTCATCATAGACTAGCACAGCTCTCTTCCTATAATATAGGCATAATTATTGCTGACATCATTATTACTATAGTGGCAATATTAACAGTAAATTATTATTATTGCTGTTATTATTGTTATTGTGATAGTATTAATAGCTTTCATTATTACAGCCATAATTATTACTGACATTACTGTAGTGATATTAATTGCATTCATTATTATAGGCATAATAATTACTGATAGTAGGAGTAGCATTGTTGTATTAACAGCACCAGTGTGTTAATTATGTTCTTAACCTTATTACAATCCTAGTTATAATTCTTCAGATTGTTATGATGCTTAAGAAAAAAAGTTGACCTTCTAGTTTCAGAGGTGTCATATTTCACAATGCAATTGTATATCTGTACAGTGGCAATGAGCGGAGGAGGGTCTATAAATGCCAAAAATTTAATTTTATTTGATTTATTTGATTTAGGCGCTGCCCGACTTCAACTCCAGCAAGAAGGCAAGGCTCAGTGGGAGCCCTACTGGGGCTGCAGCTAGCTTCTAACACAAAGTTTCTCAACCTTAGCAACTCTCAGATGGGTGGACTTCAATTCCCAGAATTCCCCAGCCAGCCATGCTGGCTGGGGAATTCTGGGAATTGAAGTCCACCCATCGGAGAGTTGCTAAGGTTGAGAAACACTGCTGTAACAAAATGAAATCAATCTGCTTCAGCTAAGAAACAACTGCAGCTAGCTTCTAACAGAAAGTTTCTCAACCTTAGCAACTCTCCGATGGGTGGACTTCAATTCCCAGAATTCCCCAGCCAGCCATGCTGGCTGGGGAATTCTGGGAGTTGAAGTCCACCCATCTGAGAGTTGCTAAGGTTGAGAAACACTGCTCTAACAAAATGAAATCAATCTGCTTCAGCTAAGAAACAAATTAGGATTGAGGGGAGAACCCTGGAGGAACTTTCTGACTGTACAAGCCATCAGCCAGTGGAACAGGCTGCCACGTGATGTGGCACGTTCTCCTGTGAGGAAAACATGTCTTTGGGGGAATCTTTGGGTGAAAGAAGCAAGTTTTTAGAGGCTTCAGACGAATGGGGTCGCCTTAATAAAACTGAAACATAAAGGAATTGCAGCATCCTTGAAGCTGGTGTGAACTAGGCTGATTGTAAACTCCTTATCACAAACATCCCCATAGCAATGTAAGGAAGGATGCCTTCTTCCTGGCAGTTGGCACCCTGAACCAATTTGTTTCTTCCCCTCTGACAATGTTGCTTCCCTTATAGATAGCAGTTGTTCCGTCCTTGTAGATAGTAGCCAAGAACGGGGACAGACAGTAACTTGAGAAGTATCATCATCATATGAATATGTATGTGTTCTTTTCCCTTCCCCTTCTTGTACAGCTGTATAAATATCAGGGCATCCATTTTGCCTACAGGGAGGGTCTCCCACTAACCTTCGGTGGGGCCCCCCTCCAGTACATACTGCCTAATAAACCCTGCAGTGAAGCCTTGATTATTTTGCATTTCTGTCCTGCGTTTTGATTCCACACTCTCTCCCTTTTTTGCACCTTTGAGTCAGTCTTGATGCCTGGAGACTGCCCGGACTGGTCCCTGCGGTTTTCTTGGCGAGGTTTTTCAGAAGTGGTTTGGCCTGGCCTAATTCCTAGGGCTGAGAGAGAGGGACTGGCCCAAGCTGGCATCGGGGCTCAGGCGGGACTAGAACTCATGGCCTCCCGGTTTCTAGCCTGCTGCCTTCCCTACGACCCCAAACTGGCTCTCCCTCCCTCCCTCCCTGGAGGTCTTCAAACAGCTGGAGGATCATCTGTCAGAAATGAGAACCCTTCCAAGGCCAGCATTCTATGAACCGCCGATGGGCCACCATTCCCCAGCCAGACACCCCTCCTGAGTGTTGGACTACAACTCCCATCCCCCGAGGCAGCCCCCAACCTCCCTGAATCAGGGCTGGGAAGCCAAGCGGACGCGACGCGGGGCTGAGGCTGCGAAGGGGGTGAAGCTGGAATCCCATGGCGCACGGCTGCTTCGCGGTGCAACTTTGCTCACAGGGCAAATGGAGAAGTGAATTCCACTGGGCAGTGGCCGTGGTGGCTGCTAGAGAGGCTGGGCCAGGGAGGGAGGCATGGGGTGGTCAGCGGTGCAAGGCCACCCTCCCCTTCCATCCTGGCTGCGGGTTTCCAGGTCTCCATGTCTTCTGCCAAGACCTTTCCTGTGGAAAGCTGGCATTGAAATCCTTTTCAAACTGCAAGCGTTCTCTCCCCGTTTTTAGTTTGTTTCTGCAAGGAAGCAGTTGATAAACGGAGAAGAATGCTTGGGGATGAGAGCAGGAGTTTGTCGCCAGGTCCTCCTGCCCCAGGTAAGGCCACAATTGGCCTTACCTGAAGCTAGCCAAGAACCACGCTTGAACAGAGCTGGGCGACAAAACGGGAACCTTTTGCATTTCAGAGCTGATGCGGACACATTTTTCCGTTCTCTGAATGCAAAGTGGAATTTGACACAACTAACCACTAACAAACGGAGTCAGCCTTCAGACTTTCAGAGTGAGCTTGACCTGTGGACTTGACAGTCATAATGTCCAGGGCAAGTTGTCTTCCTGCTTCTTCGTTCTTTCACCACCTGTTTTTTGTCATACGGTTCCTGAGCAAAGATTTTTGGACAGCTTAAAAATGTGCCAAAATTTTGGGGCCACAATCAATGATGGATGTGGGGTTTATGATGTTGTGGATCCACAAAGCTGTGATTATTTCCTGCACTGTAGGAATGTCTTTAAAATTACCATAAACCAGTGTTTCTCAACCTTGGCAACTTTAAGACAT